GAATTTTCTGCAAATGTTTTACTGTGAATACATATACAGAAGATGAAGGTGGTAGGGAATATGACTTGTGGTAAAGCAAATGCCTTATATGTGTGAGACACTGAATACAACCCCAGGAACCATTAAACAAGAGAGAAATAGGATGGGATGGAGGAAGACATTTATCTCTAATGGGGTTGCAATAGAGATCCACTGACTCGTGTGGATATAAGGAATGCTAGTGTCTGCATGGGCTGGAGTGATAGCACAGTGGTAGGGAATTTGCCTTGCGCACAACCAGCCCAGTCGAGCTGGGTTCAATTCCTTCGCCCCTCTGGGAGAGCCCAATAAGCTACCGAGAGTATCTTTCCTGCATGGCAAAGCCTTGCAAGCTACTCGTGACATATTCAATATGCCAAACACACTAACAACAAGTCTCAAAATGGAGATGTTACTGGGTCCGCTTGAGCAAATTGATGAACAATGGGAGGACAGTGACAGTGACATTGTCTGCATATTATAGTTTTTTAAAAACTTTTATTAAGACACTACAATTTACAATACTATTAATGATAGAGCTTCATGTATCCAATGTATCAATACTGGGTGTCTACTTCTCTCCACCATTTCCCCCAAAGTCCCTTCCCACCTATCATTCCATCTTCTTCCTCACCTGCTTGATTTTGTTCTTTTTAATGTGTGCCATTCTCACGAATGTGAGGTGATATCTCATTGCTGTTTTGATTTAAATGTTCTCAATAATAAGTTGAAGGAAAAAATGGCATACTTCTTGGTCATCTGTATGTCTTGCTTAAGGGATTTTCTGTTCAACTCTTTTTCCCATTTTTTGATGTCCCCATGCCCAATAAGTTTTATAAGTGCTTTACATATCATGGATATTAACCTTTTTTTAGATGAATGCTAAGCAAATATTTTTTTCAGTCCGTGGGATGTCTTTTGTCTAGTCATCATTTCATTTGCAATGCAGAAGTTTCTTAGTTTGATGTAGCCACATGTGTTTAGTTTTCTTTCTGTTTGCCTGACCAATGACATCGATTCATGTAAAAAGCCTCTAGATTCAATTTCATGAATGGTTATATTTATGTTATTCTCAATATACATTTTTTGGATGCAGATCTTATATCAAGAGCTTTAATTCATGTTTTGTTTTTTGTTTTTTGTTTTTTTTTTTTGGGGGGGGGGGTGGGCATACCTAACTATACCTGACTGTGCTCAGGGCTTCCTCCTGCCTCTGCTCTTAGGAATCATTCCAGGTGAGTCTTGATTGACCATATGGGATTGAGCCCAGGTTCAATTTGTGCAAAGCAAGTACTTTATCTGCTATGCTTTTGCTATGGCCCTTTAATCTATTGTGAGCTGACTTTTTTTACATGATGTGAGATAGATGTGTCTGAATTAATAATTTTCCATGTGGCTGACCAATTTGCCAACATCATTTGTTGAAGATACTTATTTTGCTCTCTTTATACACTTTTATATCTTTTGTTGAAGATTAGATATCTATGTTACCAAAGGTCTGTCTCTGGGTTCTAAATTCTCGTCCATTGATCTAAGAGTCTTTATTTATTTCTGTACCACACCATATATTAAGTATTGCTTTGTAGTATAATTTAAACTTAGGGGAGAAACTAGCCTCCCTCCCATCATTTATTAGTAAGATTGTTTTGGCCACTTGAGAGTTTTAATGTTTCATATAACTTTTTAATTTTGGTTTTTGGGCCAAACCTGGTTGAGCCCAGAGATTATTCCTTGCTATGTGCTCAAGGATCACTCCTGGAACGATTTGGGGATCTATGCATAGTGCCAGGGATCAAACCAGTGTCAGACCGTAATGCAAAGCAAATACTTTACTCCTGTACTATCTCAAACCCACCAACAGTTTCTATGAGGCAAATATCACCTTGACACCCAAACCAGGCAGAGATGTAACTAATTAGGAAAGTTAGAGACCTCTATCCATAGTGAATATAAATTTAAAGAGCCTCAACAAATATTAGAAAACCAAATCGACATCATGATCTAGTAGGATTTATCTTAAAGATGCAAGGTGGTTTAATATATACAAGTCAAACAACATAATGGATTTTATAAATATATGAAAATATAAAAATCATACAATACTAATAGATGCAGAGAATTTGAGAAGATTCTACACACACTCATGACCAAAAGCCCTCTTACTAAAATAGGGATAGAAGAAAAATTCCTCAATATTGTTGAAGTCATGTAGCTTAAAACCACAACTAACATCTTATCAATGGTAAAAAGCTAAAAGCCTTTTCTCTAAGATGAGGGGCAAGACAAAGTTGCTGTTCTCATCATTTAGTATTGGAAGTCCTTGCCACAGAAATTAGACAAGAAAGAGCTATTAAGGGATTGCAGATTGAAAAAGAAGTCAGACTTTATTTGCAGATAAGATAACACTATATCAGAAAACCCTAGAGACACTGCCAACCCAATCCCCTTCACCCCACAACAAAAACCTCTTAGAAACAATAAAGTTGTACAGAGAAATGACAAACTATGAAAATTTGTGGCATTTCTATATACAAACAATAAAGTAGAAATTAACATTTTATTCAAAATTGTTCATCAAAAATTCAAATATTTGAGAATCAGCTAAACAAATGAAGTGAACTACTATTATAAAAAAGAAATTAAGAAGAGAGGAGAATCCTCTGTAAATGGATTGAAGGATTGGTATTGCTAAAATGGCATCCCTACACAAAGCATTAAACAGAATCAATGTAGTCCCAAATAAAATTTCCACGTCAGTTTTTTGAGACATAGACCAAATGTTGTTAACATTAATATGGAGGAGCCAGAGAGTTAGGAGGAAAGGCTAACATTTTGAATAACATTTTTATTTCCTTGCTAATCAGTAGTCTTTTCAGCTGCTCTGTTTCCTCTCTTTTTTATTTTTATTATTTTTTTTTATGAAGGGAGGTTGCAGCTTAGGGATAGCTCACCTGGGCGGCAGTGGTGGAGCTTAATACTTACTCCAGGTAGGCTCACGTACTGTATGCAGTGCCAGGGATCTATCCTGGGTCAGCCACTTTCAAGGCCAATGCCCTGCCCACTGTGCTGTATCTACAGCCCCACTGTTTCCTCTTCATTCTATCTTGGATAGTTATATGTCCAAAAATGTAATCATTTCTTCTAGGGAAAAGTAACTGAGACTCACAGGCAGAGAGGGAATAAGCTGTAGTTGTGTTGTTTAGTAAGTATGCACTGTTCACTGTATCACTGTCCTTCAGTTGTTCATCAATTTTCTCCAGCGGGCCCAGTAATGTCTCCATTGTGAGACTTGTTACTGTGTTTGGCATATTGAATATGTCACGGGTAGCTTCCCAGGATTTGCCTTGAGGGCGAGATACTCTCAGTAGCTTGCCGGGCTCTCCAAGAGGGGCAGAGGAATGAACCCCGCGTCACCCTGTCAGCTGCGTGCAAGGCAAACTCCCTACCCGCTGTAGTATCGCTCCAGTAAGTAAGTATATCCTTGAAAATAAAATTCTATAACCAACTTGACTGAGAATTATTGCCTGCTGTGAAGCCTCATTCTGAGAAACAACCTCAGCACTAAGCAGAGGCAGTCACTCAGATTTGAGCACTTATTTGAGTCAAAAGGATTGTGCTAGCTTTCCTATTCAGGTATGTTGTTGTGAATCAGAAACCGTAGGAGTATAATGCCTCATCTTCAGAGCAAGTCCCTGTGATGGGAAGAGTAGTCTTGTGTCCAGGGAGGGAACCAGAGGTCATTCAATGATACAAGAATCTACAAGGGTGAGATCAGATCTTGCGGTACATGCTTGAGCCTCTATTGAACCCATTGTTTGTAGTCACTGGTGGTGACAAATTCAGCACACCAATATCAGGTGAAAGTGACTACCTCTTCAGAAAATTTCCTTCATGAATCACTTCAGCCTGGAAAGTGGATCCTATAAGCAACAATACAGATAGAAATTTCATGGTCAGATCAGGGGAATGATGGGCTAGAAATGATGGGGTATACTTCCAGAAACGGAATTGCTAGGTCTTATGGGAGCTCAATTCCTAGTTTTATTGAGTAGTGTTTATACATGTATACAAATTTTCAAGGGGATAGACATGAGTAAGATATGACATGCTTTTTCTGTGTTTTACTTAAGTTAGTATACAAAATCAGAAGATACCTACTGATTCTGAGAAGGTGGACTAAGGAAATCCTTATACAATGGGAAATAAAAATTGTTAAACTATATGGAAATAGTAAAGAGGCTCCAGAATCTGAACATGGAATATCACATGGAGAGCATTCACTTGACTAATCATCAGAGGAAATAAATTCAGTACTCAGGAGAGACATCTATACTTAGAAACTGATTGAAAAATTATAGAAATTAAAACATAAAAGCAACCTACTATTCTCAGTATCCTCCCATTTGTTTCCTTGTGTGTTTCTACCTCATTTTACTTATTAAGTATCATGAACGTTCCACTTTATTTTAAAAAAGTTAAAATTCTTTTCTGGAATTTATGACTAGAAGGTGTAATTTAAATAAGTTGCTAATTATTATCTATATTTTTCCTTTACAGCAATCCATATACTTATAGTGCATAAAAAGTGATTTCTAATAAAAAACATGCTATAAATACATAAATAGAGTGTTTTCTTTCTTACTTTTAGTAAGAATAGACATCATTACTGATACTTTTGGAGGAAATGTATTTGATAGCATTACTTCTTCATGCCTGGAAACGTTCCTAGACTCTGTATTTAGCCTATATACCAAAAAACAGAAATAGAGTAAGTCCTAACTAATGTCAAGCCATACTGCTTTGGAAAGCAGTATTATAAGTGAAGGAGTTTATCAAGTCCTGGAATAATTTTGTTTCCTTTGGAGTTTCCAGAAATGGTTGTTTTTATTTTGTCATGGGCATTATAAAAAAGACTTTGAACTAGCCGACTTCAATATAGGATCAGTGGCACTCAGTACTAAAAAATGAAGCTAAGTTGGGGTTTAGGTCTCATTTCCCCATCTGTATCTGTCACTGTGGAAATGGTTGCTGAACCACAGAGCACAGAAATACTCAGCCTCGTCCTCTTCCTTGGCTCCAGTGATGGTGAGGACTGCCTTGTTTCCAAGCAGGGAGCCAGAGAATCGAGCTGGAACGTCTGGATGTCTACTGGTTCTACTTATTAGACCCCAGGGTTTCTGGTAGTGCTTCTGTTGAATCCAGTTGGCAGCAATACTGGTAGTAACAGCCATAGTGCTGGAGCCACAGATAAGAGTAACTGTGCCCCCAGGATTTGTAGACAGTGATGGTTCTTGAATTACCACATTCTGAGAAGTAACTCCTGAAAATAGACAGGAGACCAAGGACAAAGGACAAAGGATGAGACAATGATATAAAGGTGCAGCATAGCATCCTTTGCCATTTTCCCCCACCAACCCAGAGAGTTCCCCTGACCTGTGCAGTGAGCCAGAATTGTGAGCAGGAGAGGAACCCAAGTCATGGTGTAGACAACCCAATGCTGTGATTTTTCAGACCCCCTCAGCACGGGACCAACCTCCAAGCTCTCCTTATACCTGCTTCCTTCTGTGGAGGTGGGGCTGTCATGCAAATGAATTCCTCATGGTCACTCAGCAGTTTGATCATGGCAGAGTTTCTTGAGTTGTTCCAAGTTAGTGACATGTACTATAGGTCCCAGGGCCTGGGGGTGCAATCCATGCAGAATTTGATCTCAGAGCATGACACACATCCCCCTCTTCACTCCTGCTTGTCTTTTTTGCTAGTGTCCAACCTTTCTTTACCCATTAAATTTTTTATTAAAAAATTATGATTCACAAAGATATTCACAGCAAATTTTAGACATACAATGTTCCAGCACCAATGCCACCAGTGTTAAATTCCCACCATCAGTTTTCCCAGTTTCCATCCCCTCCAACATCCCAGCCTGCCACCTTGAAAGACACATTTTAAATTTTTATTGCTGTAGTTTGGATCTCATGTTTTCAGTGTTGTTGACAATGTGGTTTGCATATTGTAACTTTACCACTCTTTTAGACCCACTAACGTACTTGTGGACTTTGGCCCTGTCCCCTGTACATCCTTCTTTCCTTTCCTTCTTCCAACCTTTTGTCCTCAGGTCTAGAGTTATAGGTGTCAAAAAATCTAAATTCAGTGTCTGTTATTCCCCAGGCAGGAAATGGATGGATGAATTTTGATAATGAAAAATGTGCAGAATCAGCACTGTTATTCTTAACCCTTCTCCATTTTTTAGACAACTTTGTTAAATAGAGGCTCTGAGGTCAGGATTCTTCTGTGTTAATATATGCAAGTTCGGGAGAAACTCCTGAAATAACGTGGATACTTTATCGCATGGGTAATTGCTAATGTAACATACGTATGCTTCACCTCTCCCAATGCCTTTTATATCTTAGTGTGCTCGGCCACAAAGCCACAAGCAGCACATGGGCTTAGACAGCATATGTGTGAGTTTCCTTTGATCAAGGTGACTTTTGTAGTGTTTGTCCAATCTGCCCCCACATGGGTCTTCGGTCTTCCACCTATGGATGTGGTCAAGGTGGTACAGTTGGGAGTGGTCATTGGCCTTCTTTGAAATTACATTTTGGCCTTTGTTCTCTCAGGGTGTGTATGTGGTGGTGGGGATGGGGGGGGGGGAGCATGGGGAGGTCCAGCTTTCTCTCGGTCTGTTATTGGTGCCAGGTGAAGGTCTTATCAGACCTTAGTTCCTGATGACCTTAAGGCATGGTCATATATAATAAAAGCATAAGGCATGTTTTTACTACATCCTGGAAATTCCATTGCCATGGGAGCCCTTCCGTGACTACTGCCTACATCAATTTTATTAAAGGACCTGCTGTACTCAGCAGCAAAAGATGAAACTTAGCTTGGGGATTATGTCTCACTTTTCCACTTACATCTGACACTGTGGAAATGGTTGCTGAACCACAGAGTACAGAAATACTCAGCTTCATCCTCCTCCTCGGCTCCAGTGATGGTGAGGACTGCCTTGTTTCCAAGCAAGGAGCCAGAGAATTGGGCAGGGACATCTGGATGCCTATAATTGGTTCTAGCTACTAGACCCCAGGGCTTATGGTAGGGCTTCTGTTAAATCCAACAAGCATAATTACTGGTGCTAACAGCCCCAGTGCTGGAGCCACAGGTGAGTGTAATTGTGCCCCCAGCAGTCATGACTAGTGATGGTTCTTGAGTTACCACATTCTGAGAAGTGACCCCTGAAAATAGATAGACCAAGGAAAGAGGATTAGACAATGATATAAAGGAGCAGAGTATCCTTTGCCATTTTCTCCCACCAATCCAGAGAGTGCCCCTGACCTGTGCAGTGAGCCAGAAATGTGAGCAGGAGAGGAGCCCAGGCCATGGTGGAGACAACCCAAGGCTGTGATTTGTCAGACCCACTCAGCTCAAGACCAGCCTCCAAGTTCTCCTTATATCTGCTTCCACCTGCGGAGGTGGGGCTGTCATGCAAATGAGTTCCTCAAGGTCACTCAGCAGTGTAACCATGGCAGAGTTTCTGAGTTGTTCCAAGTCAGTGACAGGTACTAGAGATCCCCAGGGTCTGAGGCTGCATTTCGTGCCAAATTTGATTTCAGAGCATGACACACAGCCCCCCTCTAGTGTCCACTGATGGAAAGATTCACCTCTGCTTGTCTTTTTTCCTGCTTTCCGACTTTCTTTCCTTCCATCTAAAGTTTCTCAGTCTCAAAGGATCTAAATTCAGTGTCTGTCAGTCCTTCAAAAACTAGAAATTGAGCTTCCATATAACCCTGAAATACTACTTCTGGGAATATATCCCGAGAAAGTAAAAAAGCACAGTAGAAATCACATCTGTACCTATATGTTCATTGCACCACTATATTTTCAATAGCCAAAATCTGGAAACAACCCAAGTGTCCTAGAACAGATGACTGGTAGAGAAACTTTGGTATATCTACTCAATGGAATGCTATGCAGCTGTCAGAAGATGAAGTCATGAACTTTGCTTATAAATGAACAGACATGGAGTGTATCATGCTAAGTGAAATTAGTCAGAAAGAGAGGGACAGACGTAGAAGGACTGCTCTCATTTGTGGAGCATAAAACAACATAACATGAGGCTGACACCTAAGGATAGTAGATACACGGGACAGATAGATTGTTCCAAAGCTGAAAGCCTGTCTCATGAGCAAAGAGGAGAAGGCAGATGGAATAGAGAAGGGATCACTAAGAAAAAGATGCCTGGAGGAATCGGTTGGGATGGGAGATGTGTACAGAAAGTAGATAAAGGATCAAACATGATAACCTCTCACGGTCTGTATTGCAAACCATAATGTGCAAAAGTAGAGAGAGAGTATGGGGAATGATGTATGCTATGGAGACAGGGGGAGGGTAAGAAAGGGGGGGAATACCGGGGATATTGGTGGTGAGGAATGTGCACTGGTGGAGAGATAGGTGTTTGATCATTGTGTGATTGTAACCCAAACATGAAAGCTTGTAACTATCTCATGGTGATTCAATAAAATAATAATAAATAAATAAATTCAGTGTCTGTTTTCCCAGGCAGGAATTGGATGATGACTTCTGAGGAGGAAGCTGAATGAATCAGCACTTACCCTTGCCCTCTTTCCTTAGACAACTATGTTGAACAGAGACTCAGGTCAAGATTCTTATTTGTTAATATATGCAAGTTCCTGAGAAACTTGTAAATAGTGTGGATACCTAATCACATGGGTAATTGATGATGTCATATGAATATGCTTAACCTGTACCAGTGCCTTTTATGTCTGAATGGTGTTTTTGTCTCATTTCTTAAAAGCAAACAAACAATAATTCATTGTAGATTACAGGTAAATTGAAGTCCATTGCATCCTGTAAACCTCTGACTGAGTATCCCACCTCCAGCTAAAGTGCTTGAGAATGTTGGAGGGACTGAATACTCTCAACTACTGGGTCTGACCCCACCAATAGTGGACTAGCATTAAGCAAGGTTTGTAGGGCTTTTAATTTCTTACTATCATTAAAATATTTGACTCATGCCCCTTAAACATCATATGAAACTTGTCCCTTATTCAAAATACTTCAAGTTATATTTACTGATGCAACCGGGAACTGACATTTCATCTGAAGATTAACATCTCAGCATCCTCTCTTCACTGGATGGGGGGCGGGTTGAATTCCAATATCATGCATTAAAAAAAACAAAAATAAGCCACTATATTGGAAATAATTGGCTCTTGACCTCCAAATATTAGACTCATCCCCTAAATGTGATGTCAGACAGTATTGGTTAGGAGCTGAGTTAATCCTATAGGAGTGCAAACCTCCAGTCACTTCTCCTTCAGACCAGTGAATTAAGTCTGGCTGGGATTGGTGCTAATATTACCGGTGCTAATAGCCCCAGTGCTGGGTCAGCGGATGAGTGTAACTGTGCCCCCAGTATTTGTGACTAGTGATGGTTCTTGAGTCACCACATTCTGAGAAGTGACTCCTGAAAATAGACAGGAAACCAAGTCTGGATTTGCTTCAGGCTTTATTCACTTCAAAAGTATCATGGGGCTGGAGAGATAATACAGTGGGTAAGGCCCTTTGCCTTGCATGTGGCTGGCCAGGTTTTATCCCTGGCATCCCATATGATCCCCTAAGCATTCCTGGGTGTGGCATTCAAATATAACAAACAAAAAAAATCCCTTAAACCTCCACAAATGAAAGCATTAATTTCCTCAGATGATTTTTTCATATTAACATTTTTTCAGTTTTTCAAAGCAAAGGTTCCTTTATTTCCTAAGTATTTTCAATGCTTTTCTGGAAATTAATTACTACAGGATATAATTTGAATAAATTTTAAAATATTACATATATGATTTATGTTATATATATGTATATAAATTTATAGCGGGCTGGAGTGATAGCACAGTGGGTAGGGCATTTGCCTTGCTCACAGCTGACCCAGATTCGATTCCTCCACCCCTCTCAGGGAGCTCAGCATGCTACGGAGAGTATCTAGCCCCCCCGGCAAAGCATGGAAAGCTCACTGGCAAGTGATGTATTCGATATGCCAAAAGCAGTAACAAGTCTCACAATGGAAGTGTTACTGGCACATGCTCAGGCAAACCAATGAACAATGGGAGGACAGTGCTACAGTGCAGTGCATGAATTTATAGCAATACGCATATTTAAATTATATTAAATGCTTTTTTAAATAAAATAGATGTTATAAATAATTAAGGTGATTATTTCCTTTCCCTTAGTGAAAATGAACATTGTTGGTGATGTTACTTCTGAAGAAAATGTAACGGACTTTATTGCATTACCATTACTTATTCATGTCGGGCAAATATCTTAGATTCTGTGTCTAGTTTGTATACTGAAATACGGAATACAGTAAAACCTAACTTAAAGTCAAGCCAGGTCCTAGAACACCAGTATTTAAGTGAAGGACTTGATCAAGTTGAGATTTAACTTTATTTGAAAGTTTGCATGAATAGTAGTTATTTTTCATCAACAGCATCAAGAGACCTTGAACTAGGTTATTTCACTAGAGAACCTGCTGTACTCAGCAGCAAAAGACCAAGTTGGCAGCTGATATGAACAGTTCTTTTTTAAGCTGTTTTCATTCCATACTCTAACCTTTTCAGCAAAATCTTGGGCTCCTCTTGATGAAGGGAAGTTCCAAACTTCCCAAGGCAAAAATTCTGTGCCAGAGTTAAGGCTCACTGGACACTATAAGAAAATGGGCAATAGTAAAGAAAAATGGCCAAATAGGTAACACAGCACACCTAAAATCAGCCAGGTTGCTGAGTAAGATCCCTATATCTCCAAAGTATGCTTGTCACTTGGCAGGTAAACAAAGTCCCAATTTTTCAATTAAACCCCACACAAATGAGCCATATCTAATTTACTTCTCTGCTGCTGGAGAATTTACTTTCTCACCTTAATTTCTAATAAACCTTTCTATTTTCTAACTCTGAGAATCTTTATTAACAATATTTTTATTCTTAAAAATATTAAAGAATCTAGGAACCATGTAAAGAACACAGAGACCCATTCTCACTGTGCTTGCATCATTTCTCTGGCTGGGCACCAGTGTGAGGGTAGCATTGTTCTCAAGAGCGACTAGGTATCAGGCCAGAGTCCTGCAGTGTTTTGGGTGTGTGTGTCATAAATCATTGTTCTGAAACTTAACCAAGCTTCTGTTAGAACCACTATGGATAATAACCATCAGTGACTGCTCCAGGGTTGGGAAATAGAAGAGAATGATAGTACCTCCGAGGAACAGTTCTTATCCAGTGTCAAAAATGGCGTGATGTGATTGATGCCTTCTTGTCTCAGTCAGATCAATGATGGCGTACTTGATCTTTTGTGCTTGTACCATCAGGTCCTCTATGGATACATATGATGCTAGTATACGTGCATTGAAAGTACAGACAATCATTTTTGTCTTTCTTCATTTTGGCAGCCTAGTTCGGCCTTGAGATTTTATCAGCCTCTCCTTTCTCATCTTTCTCAACGTTGTCATATTGGTGACGCCATTGGGGTCAGGGGAATAAGACCCATTGTAATTACTGGTTTTGGCATATCGAATACACAACGAATAGCTTGCCAGGCTCTGCAAGAGGGATAGAGGCTTTTGGGGTGGCCTCTAATCACCCTTGTAAGTGTTCCTATGTTTCAAACCATATTGGAACCTGATCAAATATGGTGCGACCATTCTGGAAAATGGGTATTATGTGTCTTATAATGTGAGCAGCCGTGCAGTCCAGAAAGCATCCTGGACCATGGCGGCGGCTTGGTAGTGGAGGTAGTGGAGGTCTGCCGGTAGGGGTAAGGTGGGTCTTCTGTGAGCAATCCAATCCCTGGGTCTCTGGCGGTTGGTGGAAGCAGACAGGGCAGGGTAGAGCAGGGCTCCTGGTTTTAATCCCTTCATCACCTGTGGTTGGTGGGAGCAGGCAGAAGATCTCTGTCCCCAGGTCCTTTAAGCCAGGAGTCTTAAGACTCCTTAAGTCTCAGAGAACATGTGACAAAAGAGGCGTTGGAGGCGTCGGTGTCCTTGTCAACACGAACTTGGCCTTGAACATTGATTCATCCGAATGCCTAACAACCTGAATCGGATGATTACACTTGAATAGATGTGGCTCACTGCCTGCAGTTTCTATCTTCGTTGTCTACGCACCAACATCCAATTATGATGAAGGAGAAATTGAGAAGTTCTACATGGAGCTGGAGAAGTTCTATAAAGAAGATCACACCTTCTATAAGATCATTTTCTGTGAATTTAATGCCAAGATAGGACCGAGAAGATCAGCCGAAGAACTCCACATTGGGACCCATGGCCTAGAATGGAAGGAACAGGGTGAGAGACCGTCTGAATTCATCATGTCGACCAAGACCATCCATGGTAACT